TGGACTAGATGACCCTGGAGATCCATTCCAACTCTGTGATTCTAAGGTAAAGGTCTTTCACATAATTGACTACCTGACACTTTTAACTGGAAATGCCGGGGATTGAACCTGGGACCTCCTGCAAGCCAAGTAGATGTTCTACCACTTAGCCACATGATAAGTAACATGATCAGTAATTTCCCCCAATACGATGAATAACTTCAGCAATTTTCCTGTGCCATTCAGACTTGTTACCTCCATTAAAGCAAACTACAGAAGGTAACCGACAATCCATGCTCAAGGACACTAGATAACAGCAAAAGGCCTATTAAAAGAAGCACCTATTAAGTCCACTTTTCATTTTTTTCATATGTATATTTAAACCATAAACTTTCCCCACCTACTAATACAGGATTTGACAAATGTTCTTTGGTTTTAAGGGCTGGCACAAAAATTTAGCAGCCAGACTTATGTTTCAGTCTTCAGTTTTGCTTGTCCATTATTATATTTTACCACAAAGAGCCTGTTAGCAGTTTCTTGTAATTTTATTCAAGCTATACCAAAAGTGTTGCAGCATATCAATAGATATAAGGGGTACCCATGGTTGGCATCAGCACAACAAAAGGGTAACCTCTAGCTATAGCCTAAGTTCTCAAAAATTTCTCATAATTCAATTATTGCTTTTAAAAAGCTCCATTTAATCGCACACTGGAGCCAGTATAGAAAGCATCTGGTTAAGTAATGAATTCCCTCCACTACCACTGAATGTTGAAAAGAGAAGTTGACATATAAACAAGCAAGGACAAGACCTTTATTTTTATGTCATACAACAAAACATTCTGATGTGAAATGATAAACAAGCTTTGGGTTGGACTGAGCCAGCTTTTCCACTCAGTCGATTCCCCTCCTTATTGCAACCCCCATTGCCATGGCTTTTGCCCATGCAAATCCCATGATCCCAAACACCCTTTTTGGTGGTCAAGTTGGACCCTTTCATCCCATTTTCACCTGGGGAGAAACTGGTTGGATCCAGGGGTTCACCAAGGGTTGCTGAGAGTCACTAGAATGAAACCATTGCTGAAAATACTAGGAGCAATGGCGACCTGGTACTTGGGATTTGCGATGCCCTGCATTCATAAAATACAAAGAGGAACATGGGGGGGGGGAGTCTAATTGATTTAAAAATTTGACCTTTTGCTGACCTGTTACGTGATCACATATAAAGACAGAGAATAACTAACACTGCATTTAATTTTCTCAAGTACAATTTCAATTTGTAATTTAAGAGCACTTCAGGCTCTTTCTTGTTTCTAATGTTTCCTTTCTAAATAAGATACTGGTACTTTTTATTAGACCCTCTTTTAAAAGCTTGCCTCAGGAGGACAATTTATTTGCCTCAACCACACAGTACAAATATCTGCTTCAACCTTTTCACTAAATACAATCACTAGAAGGCTATCTCAACGATTCTCTTTCCTCCAGCAAAGTAAGACACAGTAGTTAACATTATATAAAGTCACAAGGACATCAGTACAAAATCAAGCAATCTGGTTTACTTCTTGTTTGGGGGGGGACCATAATCAATAAACCTAATAAAGTTTATTGCCTCTTTTCCCCACTAAGTATTCATTTCATTAGTTATGACATGAAAACAAGGAATTCACATTTCTCCAACGCCTTTTTAGCATTAAAAAGAAATGTGAAAGAATGCTCTGATTTTTTCCCCCTCACAGTCTTAATGAAAAGCAGAATGGGTGATTCAAATGACTAACTGAAGAATAGGATTAAATTGTGTTTGGAAGCACTGAACTGGTCTCGACTGGTCTGGTCCTTCTACTGTAGATTAACAGGAGTTTAGGTTTTTTTAAACACTCATTTGGTAGTTTCTCTATAAAATTAACACATTTTTTACTCTTATTAATTCATTGTTTTAAATTTTCTCCAGTATCTGAAAACACAATAAACATACACACTTTTAAGTCCCACTTTTTAACACAATTTACTCCTCAGTAATTTAATTTAGAACAACAGCATTAAAAGAGCTACATTTTGACAATTTAGCAGTCTGTCTCCTCTTAGATCTAGATCATTAGAAGATGCTGATTTATACAGGAAAAATACAAACAAGAACCAAAGACTTTCAAACACAGATCACCTTTTGAAAACTTTTTACCAAGATATTTTATTTTCAGAAGCTCCAGTACTAAGACATCAAAACTACACTTAAAATATAATTGACGACAGAGTGACAGCCTGCATTGGGCTACATGAAAGTGGCATTAGATGTCTGTCCCATGACGTGCAAAGTCATCCAACTGCCTGCTGGACCCCATGGAAAGCGGCAGTGGGGTTCATTCCTTCTGCTCATCCTCCAGCTTCACAGGACAGAACTCCCTGCCCCCACTTTGCCTGGACCTGAGAATTCAAACATGGTGGCAGCAGCAACTGCTTCCGCATCAGGCTGCAAGAATAGTTCTGACTTCCTTCTTGTTCAGAGGGATAATTAGATGTTTAGGCAAAATCAAGTTTGAAAGATGAGAGAACAGCTGAGACTGGACACTGCCATGCCAGGTTGTACACATGCCCTTCTGACTTCTTTAAAGAGCAATCCGGAGTTAAAGAGCCAGTAACCCTTGAGGCAAAAGGAAGTCAGAGCTAAATGAAGGGCTGGCTGCGTTCTTGATCCAGGTGACAACCAGCAGCAGTACTGGGCTGACGGCAAGAGCAACTAGAGAAATGTGCACATCAGGTTGCTCATGAAGGGGCAAGTACCCCTCACCTCAGGAGTGTGGCAAACCGAAAGTCTGAATTAATGGCACTCAAACCAAATGAGATTTTCCATACACAACTGGTCTAATCCGCCTATTCTATTATCTAATTACTTAGACGTACTGAAGCTGTCAATATACAAGAAGTACCTTTAATGGGAAGGTAATTAAAGCTAATCTTTCAGAATGTCGTTTTATGCTTCCCCTATACAAAAAGAAAAGGCCATTTAAAATTTCATTGTGCAGGAAAAAATTTTTAAAAACCCGCTCAGAAATACTCTCCCTGTTATAACTGGCAAGGATACCATTACATTATTAGCTTCAAGTGAAGACTACGCAACACCAGAGATGCAGCTTCATATAAGCATCCATGTAGAGATGGTATGCATAACAATATGCATAATCCTTCAGTTTCTTTTAGTATCAGTTTAATCACTTCTGAAACAAGCCTTACATACATAATAAATGCAAAGCTGAAAATACTAGTTTCTTCTATCACAGTCCATTCATACACACACAGACACAGAGAGAGAATTAAGAATCTGTATGTCTCTTCCAAATTTGGAATAAAAATGACACATAACTGCTATCATTCAGAAAGAAAGAAAAAGTAATCAGGCTAAGCTGATCAGCACTACAAACTGCCAGCGTCATTGCATCACTGTGAAGCGCCTTCCTCATTTACTCAATATCATCCTCCAACCACTGATCAGTTCCTCTACCACAGCATTCCATTTGAAACTGATCTCCAAGGCTTTGCCGCTTAATTCTCTATTGCTTCATCGTATCCAACACGCCAAGCTCTGCTTACTCTGTATAACCATTTCCTTTATAAATACATCACCAAACACTTCTGTCTCTGCAGCATCTGCTATTACCATGAAGACAACATGGGTAAAAGGGCACAGACAAAACACTCATTTAACAATCAAACCCCTACGAGTTCAGAGACATAAAAGAGTGAGAATTATATACGTTAATTACCTAAGAGCATGCAGCTACAGATATGAAAAAGGTGGGCCATTACGTCAATTGCCCCCACAGACACACAAATAGCAGAGGTGGCAAGTGTTTATTTACCTCTTCTAGCAGCGTGACGGTATTCCTGCAGTTCTGCAGCCGGGTAGTAAAGCTGGATGTTGTTGGAGAGTTGTAATCCTCTGTGGTCTCAGAAATAAACTCCGACACAGTGATCTGGTCCGGCATGATCCTGCCCAGCGGAGAAGGACGATCACGGAGAAAGGAGAGGAGAGATGGAGTATTAACAACAGGGCATGGCAGCACCCATATGCTTTAGGGGAGGGAGGAGTGTCATGAGAATATATTTCTTCTTTCTGCACCCAGTTTGTCTTCTAACCGCTCTGGCACCCAGGTTGGGAATGAAGGAGACCGGAGATGCCCTTCACATCCTGCGGAAGGGAGCAGGCAGATGTCTCCACTGGGCTGGTTCAGCCCCCGCCAGTTCTAGGCTGCCCTGCTCTTCTTTGGGTGGAAAGCTGTATGGGGTGGGTGACCCTTTCCACCTTACAGCCTCACAGCTCAAGATCATTTCTCCTTGAGGGAGGGGAAGGAACAGTCCCTCACAGGCACCGTCCTTGCCCCTCCTCGGATCCCTTCCTTAAATGAAAGAGAACATCCTCTTCCTCCATCACTGCCCAACGGAGCCTCCATCCCATACTCCATGTGCCCCCCAATAAGGAAACGCGGTCTCCAGCTTCACATCATCCGGGGTGAGAATGGACCTCCTCGATCAAGGAATTGGGGGTGCGACATCCAGAGCAGACTCTTCTCCCCCCCCAATAGATTCTTAACCTTCAGACACATTCCTGCAAGACCCCCCCCAAAAAAAACACCCCCTTATAAGAGGGTGCGTCTCCAGCACCTTCAACCCTTCCCCTTACGAGCTGCGGAATACCTTGTTTTAAACCTCCCAGGCTTTTCTTTTTTTTTAAAAAAAAAGAAAAGCAAATTTCTGACTAGTTCTTGCACCTCCTCAGCAGAAAGAAAGAAATGTGTGCGTGTGGGAAAGAAGAATTGGGAGAAAACAATTCCTCAGCCTTTCCCAGGTGAGTCCACTGCCAAAAAAAGACACACACCCCCCTGTGGGGTGGGGGTGGGAGAAAGGTGCCTGCAACCTGGACTTCCCTGACCCTTTCCCGTGGCCAGAGGGGGGGGGGAGGCCGGTGTCCTCACAAACACTCACACACCCCCAGCCCATTTCCCCCTCTGGAACAACTGCCGAAGAGGTCCCGTCCTCGCTTTTCCTCTGCCCGTCGTCACCCTCTCTATTTCCACCCCCACCCCCCCCAAGCTGAAAAAGGAAAGGAGAAAGAGCCAAGGAGGTCTTTTCACACAGCTCCTCAAAGAAAAAGAAAAAGCCCTCCT